CAGACTGTGACGGATCTTTGAGTTTTGGCAAAAATACTTTAAGTATGGGTTCAGTGTATGGTCTGATTAGTCGGGGAGTTGTGGCCAACAAGTGGCCTAACATTTTGGCGCTTTGCTCTTTACTCCGGCAAATGCCAGAGTATTCTAACTCTGTTAACAATTGAAGCAAAACCTATTCAAACAATCAAAAAAATAAATTAAACATAAATATTAATGCATTAAAAGTTTCATTACAACACTGTTTGAATACCTTTCTGAGTGACGGCATAACATACGCGGGATTAAGACTACTGAGCCGTCCGATCGTACATAAGCCCAGTTCTCTGATCTCAAACACCTCGTCGTTAAGACAGATGAACAGTGCGTTCAGGTTCTCGGCCTGAGCTAAATGCATGTCAAACCGCTCGTCAAGACTCGATAGCACCGAATAGCGGACATACATATCGGCGTCGGTTATGCCCACAATCAATAGTTTACTTAAAACATCCTTTAATGTAACAGCAAATCAATAGATAAAATACTAGAGTTCGCAAAAAACTCAATTATCATTAATTTTTACCTGAATTGTAATGACAAGAGTTTGCGAATGTTTTGCCTGAACTTTCATTAGAGCGGGCGTTAGTAATTGGCAGCACGTGTGGACCGCTTCCAGTCGCACCTCTCGACTCTCGTCGGTCAGGTAAGTGTCGGCGCAGTGGCGGACAAACTGCATGAGAGACCGGGGCTCGAAGTCGAACTGACCCAACACTTTGAGCGCCAGAATCGTCGTCTATATAACACATTAGTATCAAATGTTAATTAAAACAAAACACTGGTTGACATAAAGCTGCCAGAAATGAGCGTAAACTACCTGAACGTCTACGGGTTCGCAGCTTAAGGACATGGCACTGAACTGCAGGTGTTTGGGCACTCCGGGCAATGTATAGGCCTTTTTCATGAGTATGTGACTCAACATCTTGAGCAGTCCGTTCTGGATGTCCTGTTTGAGTGACGGAATGTATTTGCATATCTCGTGCAGCGCCGCCGCCAACGGCTCCGACAGTCCGGTGGCGAACATCGAGTCCAAGAGGGAGTGTTCGCGCACTTCTTTGACAATAGAGTCGGCCGCCACCTGACTCAACAGCGCCAGACACGTGAACACAGTGGGGTCCGGCTGTGGCAGCCGTTTCTTCGGCTGATGCTCTTTCAGCGGCAGTGTTTGGCGTATTGTTTGCATTATTTGCGGCAAATGCTGTTTAAGAATATCATTCTTCACCGGTTTGATGGCAATCGCCAAAAGACCTGCGAAACAAAATCAAAACCGGTGTTAAAATTGTCATTTCTGGCGGACGTGTTGTCGACAATTACCCAAAGAGATGAAGGCGAGGGAACGGGCGGGCGATAGTCGCAGGTTATTGAGTAGGTATACAATGGTCTCTTTGATGTACTTCCGGGCGGCAAACTTGTCCGGATTCAATGCGGCCAGACTTGGAATGACTGTCAGAATCACGTGATTTATGTTCGGAGTATTCTTGCAGTGGAGCTGAAGCATCACTTGAGCGCATAAGTCGTCGAAATTGTCTAATAATAATTGACGACATGTTTGGCTCAGTTTCGGCGGTCGGTATCTAATCGCACGACAAGACAACGAATAGACATATTAGACGTTTGGATCAAACAATAAACCGATTGACAAAATAGTATACTTGTGTTGCGACGATGGGATGGGCGCTAAACCCATCTCTTTGTGATACTTCACCACTGAATTCAAATCACGCAAACCATAAGAGGGAACCGTTGGCTGTGTCTGAATATTGGTGTGACTCCGGAATAGTTTAGACAATTGACTGCTTCGGTGGTTGCTTTGGTTCTCGATTATCTGATTATATTTGTGCTCCAATTCTCGTCCGATTACATCGCCTGTGGTTTAGACCAACAAAAAAACAAAATCATTGAAACTGTGACCACAATCTCAAACACAAGACATTTGATTGAATACCTGAATCGTTAGAACAGCGCAAGAGTTCGTTGAGAATAAGGAGCGACGCCTGGATCTTGTCCTCCTTCTCCCGTTGGGCCGCTTTGTCGCGTTCGTCAAAGCCTTTCATCACTTCTTCGAAGCAGATCTTAAAACATTTGGGTATTTGTTGGTCAATACGGGACTTATTGTCCTTCAGGTCGTGGGATATGCGCTCCCTTTCGGCCACAACATAGAGGGCCGACCGGAGCGCCGACACCGCGGAGTCGCGTATCTTCGGGTCGTTTATAGTGAGGAATATGTTCTCGAAGAATAGGTTCACTTGACTGAAGAAGTAGGTCGGCGTCACGTTTGCCAACTCTCGCAGATTCAACACCTATTGAGTCGTCGAAAGGAAAACAATAACAAAGTGTTGTAAATAACAAGAATTGATTCAAACAAACAAATGACAACTCATTTACCGCCGAATGTCTCTTAATCTCATTCTTGTCGGGCGAGAGGTTCTCAATGGCGCGCCTGATCTCAAAGTCCACGAAATTAGTAATAACGGCGCCGGAGTTGATGGCAATCTTGCCGACAGCGCAGGCCGACAGGTCCAGCAGTTCCATGTCCGAGAAGTTGTGGTTAAGATTACGCAAATGGTTGGCAAAGGGGGCGTAAATGACTGGTTTGGCCTTATCTACGAGCGACGACATCGAGTCCAAGAGTATACACATGAGAACAATACCGGCTTTGATATCATTGGCATTGTTAGCGCCGGAGCCCAGCATTAGGTCAAAGATCTTGGTTTTGGACAAATCGTAAAACGAGTTGAGCTTTCAAACGGACAGTCGTGGCCGTCGAGCGGGAGTCTCACCACTGGAACCACTCCTCGCGCAGACATCTTCCTCGTCGGTGTCGTCGTCTTGAATGCTGTGGTCGTCGGCGGCGAACCACCACTTCTTCTTGAGAGACGATTGATGGGATCAACTGGCGATTCAAAGAGTGGCACCGATTAGTGTATCACTCATTCAATGGATTTGTTGTGCTTTTGATTGCAATTCATTCAAACATTTAATTGTTTTGTTGTTTTGATTTTGTATTCATTTTAAGCGTTCATTCAATCAATAAAAACAACACAAATAAAAATCTCTCCAAAAGTGTAAACAAAAATACTGTCCATTAATAACGGCTTGAATTCGGGGGAGAATTGGGTTTACTTTTGAAATTACAATTCATTTTTAAGTCTATTTTTATACATTTGGGTTACGATTAATATATCGTTTAATTGCTATTAATTTGTCAGTTAATGACAGTTAACGGGAAAAGCAATTAAAATCTACTGTTTTTCGAAACAATTATTTCATTTAACGCTAAGTCAAGTGTATGTCAATCATAACGAGACTCGTGTCTAACCTTCACTCGTCTGGACAGTCGTTGTTTATAGAGTTGATTCTCACCTCTGAAGCAACGCCTGCGATATGACACAACACTTTCCCGCATAACAACACAAGCCATACATAAATATCAGTCTACAAGCGATGCAGTGAAGCAAATACAACAAATCACAGCATTCGGTGGGAATCACAACTGAAATATATGCTCATAAAGTGAGTGGCGATTGAATTGTCGAGTTTAGCCAACGATTGCATAACAAGTCATAATTGATGTGTATTTTAGTGATAAAGTTATAACACGATTGACAACAACATTGAAATACAGCGCTCTATGACTGATGTGTTTCTGTATTAACTAATANCGATTGACAACAACATTGAAATACAGCGCTCTATGACTGATGTGTTTCTGTATTAACTAATAGTGCCATCAATTCATACATTTTGTCATTAATTAAAAGTATTTATTAATTTAGTTGTAATTGTTTTTAATTAGTTTTGTTTTCTCGCAGTTCAGGCGGTGTTTCATATATTGTGTACATTATATACAAACCACTCGTTGAGTGAATGCAAAGCTTTACTCAACACATCTCATCCACAACTCGTACCGCATATTCACCACTGATTTGTCATTCAATTAATTATATGATTAAAACGGATAACAATTTAATTTACAATTATATTTAAGTCTAATAGAAATCTCATCAATAGTTAGCTTTTATGACACGTTTTTATTATTTTAAAATTAGGCACAAATTATTGGGTTTTCAATCCATTCGCTAAATCATCACTTTTTTTGTCCGCAATTTATTTAATAATAATTTTAAAAATAATTGATTTGCAAAACAAAAGCATCGCTTGTTTTGCTTGTGTTGTGTCCACACTATTGGGCGGCTAATCGTGCGGTGAATCAATCGGCGGATCAGTTGCGGCGATGAGGCGGTGGTTATCGCGGTGTCACCACTATTTGGTGGCTCTGAGGCCGTGGTCTTTCTCGGCATCGCTAACACCCGTACTGTTGGGCTCTGTTCTGGCCT